GTGAAAATACCGGAGACAAAAGGTAACTTTATTCAATACTCTTAAACAATCCACTTTCTCATTATTAAAGAACCAATTCCAAAAAAAAGAGTTTGATGTCACATTTTTCAATTGTTTTGATTATTCTCCTAAGAAATTTTAAAATTTCATAGCAACTTACCACAAATGTACGTTAAACACTTCATTTATACACTATTCTTAAAAAATTATTTAAAATCAACCATTTGTAAAAATTATTCTCAAGTTTTTCCATCTTTTTTCCATTTATTACTGGTTTACAAAATTACAATAATGCTTTTTTTAAAGTTCTAGCCAATAATAAATGTCAAAACTTTGACATTAAAACTTTTTTCTTCAATATTGAAAAGACACAAAGAAAAAGAGTCGACAAAAAAAAAACCAAATAAACAGAGTCAAAACAAATTTAATGCTCTTACATAGAAAAAAAATGAACTCATTTTTTATCTCATTAAAATTATTCTATAAGAAACTTCACTTTAAGTCTTTTTACAATCTTATGTTCTACCCGATTTTTGTTCTTCTGTTTTAATTTTTAAGTTTTCTTATTCTTTTTTTCAGTTTCTATCACCAATATTTCCTTTATATTCAGTAAAAAATAAATTAATTTTATGTAATTTGCAGTAATTGCAAACCCTTATGCTCTTATCCCATTTGACTCCCTTGGAATTTACAAATGCATTTTATTTTATTAAATTATGCTGTAATTTAATTAATATTACAAATAATCATCGGTAACTATTAAATAATTAATTCAATTACGAATTTATCGCTCTGTATGATTACCCTTATATTACTTCTGAGAATGTTTTACTATATTGTATGCGAATTATTTAATAATATGAAATACTGATTGCATTAATATGCAGCAAATTTAACCCAAGCAGAAGAAGCTTCAATCCTTTAATATATTACAACAATTCTCTTAAATTCTAAATTCACTTTACCGTATTCAAACTGTAATTTACCGTACCGTAAACGGCCCATAACTTGATACTCACTTTTACTGCTTTAAATACCACCCCTCTGTTATTTTCGCTTTAGAACAACAATATTGAATATTCAAAATTTTAAACGAAGGATGAAGAAAAATATTTTCTTCCTCTACATTCCATTTCTAACAAAACAAAGAAAAACGGAGAATAATAACGGGAAATCATTATAAATTATCTTGAAAAGATAAGAAAGAAATGCGATGATAAAAAGAAAAGTGAATCCTTAAAGAAAAAAGTTTGATGACTAAAATAGAAATGAAAAAAAAAAAAACAAAATTCATTTTAATTTGCATTTAAAGGACTTTTCAGTTCGATTTTGATCGTTTTCGTCTCCTTATATCTTTTAATTTTCTCGAAACGTATTTTTGCCCAATTTAAATGCTCTTTTTCGATAATTTATTTTTTTTTTTCTTTAGGTGATTTTCTGATATTCAATAAAAAGATAAAGGGCATTAACAAAAATAAAAAAAAAAACTATTGATTTTTTTTTATTTGGAGAAATAAAAACAAAAATGAAAAGCATTAAAAATGGCGATAAAACTGATTTCTTTTGACAATCAATTTAATTGGTTTTAAAGGATCAATAAAACATCCTTTAAAAATTATGTATTTAAAATACGAAAGTTGTTTTATTTGTGATTTTCTTTAGTGTTCAAGAATAAATTGCCGTCAATTAAAAGGCTGGCTTGAAAAGGTAAATTTTAATACCAACAATTTTAACCCTGTAGCAAAAATTCAATTATTTAAAAAATAAATTATTTGATATACTAAGAAAGCAAGAAGTAAATTTACCTAGAAAGATATAAATTTTGTTCTTAGCAGAGGTTCATTTCCAAATATCCGGTTTGCCTGATATTTCGTCAGTATGGTTGGAAAAATTGAATCCAAATAAAATTTATTAATATTTCAAGAAATATCATTGATTTATTCCTTAGATATTGTCAGAAATGACCATTTAGGTTTCTTTGAGGTTGGGTTAAAGTACACCAGTAATGATAGGTCTGATAACAGTTCGGGTCCGCTTATTTTTGTCTTTCGATGATTTTTACAGCTGTATTAAAAAATATTTACGTCAATAATATTGACACCCTCTGTCATAATTAAGATCAAAATCAATAAAAAACTGTAATAAAGTATATAAAATGGAAACTTGTATATTCGTTGGAGTAATCTTATAATTTTCATTGTGAAAATATTGAAATTAGTGTAAAAACAATATTGTATGATGTAACTTATGCCACCTGCTGAAAAAATTTTATTCTAAGATTATCTTCCGACTTGTATTATGTCATAGAATTTTGACTTTCGGCAGCTGCGATTTCTATAAAATTATGAGTTTTATCAAATTTCTCGAAAAACCAATAAGTTGCAATAGTTGACTTCTAGTAAGGAATAATATACACAGAATATACAATTTGTTTTTTTTTAATTTTTTCATGTGTTTGAGGAAGTGTGCTTCTTTACAATACATTCTAGCCTGATCCGATTTTATTTAACTACTATTTAATATTATAATTGGTTTTATTCCATAAATGAAAATTATTTTAAGTACACCCTTAACATGCATACATAATACTCGTATAATGTACATTTACATACATCCCCGTAAAATAAAATATTCGAAAAATATAAAATTTATTTTATTGATTTTATATCCCAAATGAGAAATTTTAATAATTATATTTGTTTTTCTAAAAAGTTTTAATTGAACTTGTGGATTTCCTCTAAAAACACAAAACTAAAAGTACATTATTTCAATTATACGAATTTTTATATATGTATATTATTAAACCTTAGGGAATATATTGGTATATTTTATATAATAATTATATTAAATATTAAATAAATATATAAAAATAAGAAATTTTTTAAAATTTAAAATAAATATAAAAAATAATTTGTAAATGATAACAATAATAATTATTATTAGAATTTAAATTAGAATTTTCGTGTATAAAACAATAATTAATTAGTTAAAAGGAATTTAATTCTCATAACTCTATAAACATTAAATTGTTAAAAATATTAGTTCAACATTATAAGCATTACAAACTGTAATATTAATTAAAATAAATATACTAAATTGTATACTATATTCGAGTATATTCTGTAATATATCAAATATGGAAATTTTCATACTGCTATTAAAATTTAATATTATAATTTAATTTTTTTTTACTTTAAATAAAATATTTATTGGAAAATTGCAAATAAGTTTTAAATGATTGCATTAAAATCGAAACTATTTTCTGTGTTCCTTTCTAATGATATTAAAATATGGAAAAATTTATTAATTTTTAAATATGGAATAAATTTTGAGACAACTGATATATTGATCAGTAGAAAAATTTTTAGTTCCTGTTAAATAACGTATTCGTCATAGTTTTTCACTCCGCAATAATTTAAGAATAAATAAAGTTGGGTCAAACCAATGATTTGTATTGTAGCACTTTTCCCTTCAACAAGTGAAAATTCTGCTTTTAAATACAGTCTATGTATACCTATCACACATTCTAAAAATTATTTTCATTCATATACAAAACTCTTTCTAGGATTGCATATATTTAGGATGAACGATTTATACAGTCTTTGAAATAAAGCAAAAATTAATATAAACTGGGTTTAACATAATGCTCGATTTTAAGGTTTAATTGTGTGAATTAAGAAAAATAATTATATTTTTTAATGTCATGAAATTTACCGTTATCTTGCGGTTTCGGAAATATAAGGTGTCAAAAATTCAAAATTTTCAAATTTCAAGAGGCGATAACTTGAGAGGCGGGAGAGAATGGAAAAAAATTTTCTTCTAACGAAATGAACTAAATATTAATGTCTAAAAGCCCCTAAAACTTCAAGCTTCTACAGGTTGGGGTCTAGAAGAAAAACGACATCAAAAATTTGGAAAAAAAGGACTTTAGATAAAGGTAAATTTGAACGGCGATTTTGTTTTTCTAAAGTTGAACTATAGTATACCGCGCTAGGGGAAGCAAGCCACTAGCTTTCTTCCAATCAGTTAAAAAATGGCATTTTTAGGGTTTTGGGGGGGTATAACTTCTAGAGGGGGAGAGATAGATAAAAATTTTGTTCTACGGAAATAAGTTTCTAGTAAAGATCTATGTACATACAAAATTTCAAGAAGTTTTGTAAACAGACAAACGGACAGACGGACGGACGGACGGACAGAGTGAAACTAATAAACACTTTTTTTCAAAAAATTTTTGGAAAAGTGCTAAAAATTATTTACCGAAGATAACAGAAATAGTAAAAAGCAAATCAATATCGATCAAGAGGATGTTTTACTAAATAGTTAAAAACTAAACTAAACAGTAGCATTTTTAATAAATGAAAATAAGCAAGTGCAAATGTGGAGCCTTATTCTACTAAAAGTATGCCACATTTATGAATGAGACTCGAACTTTTTTCATTTTAAAAAGTTAGAAAATTGTTTTTAAAAGTATATAAAAACAGATGAAAATATATAGATTGTAGATTGTAGATTTCTATGGAAACCGAGTGGTGCAGTAGGATCCCTTCGGGCCCCTACAGCCATTCGCGCCTTAAAATATCCTTAAGGGAGTTGAATATCAGTTCCCGAACACTTAGAAAACCCTGTCAAAAATAATTGTGACGCCAGACAGTCAGTGCTGGACAGTCAAAAAAGGTGTGCGGCGGCGGTTTCGTATATAAGAACTAGTAAAATAGTGAAAGAAAAATGAGCTTTTAGAAAGAAAATATACGCATTTTCAAAAATTTTGAATAAATTTCGTATATTTATTAATTTTCTCGAATTATCTCGGTTAAAAATATTAGGAATTCCAACTTAATTGTACATAACAATTTCCTTAAAATGTTGGAAATAAATAATATTAGTTTTAAATCAAAATAACAAAATTCCTGTAAGAAACCTGTAGGTATTTAACTGTGAAATGTGTGGAAATATTTTCAGAAAATTAAGTACATAAATACATAAAATTAGAAAAAATCATGTTATTTTATCAATACACTTTTATTATCTTATACTCTGACTATATAGCCCAAAATTTAAACGCAAAAATTAATAAGGTGATGAAGGTATTTCATTATTATGTACTGTGAACTTCTTTGATATCAATTTTTTTTGCAGCAATCTTCTTTTGGTCCATTTTTACATGTGCATTTGCATGATTTAACGCATCCACATCCAGTACCGCATTTAGTATCAGTGCAGTTACATTCTAAAATTAAAATAATATTATTTTAAAAATTTTTATTAGTTTGATGTAAAAAAATTACATGCATATTACAATTTAATAAAGATTGAATTAATTCTCTTATAATAATCAAATCACATAATTAATTAAAATATCTATAACAATATAATTTTCCATGTTTCATTACGCACTACAGCGTAAATCAATGAATTGAAATCACTTAATTATAAACGAGTATTAGAACTTATTGATATTAGCAAATAAAATTATATAATGAACTCAATCAAATTCAATTTTAACAACAACTTCACTAAACCAGTTGAGCCCACCTTACTATAACGTATACATAATTCTATTTTCGTATTTTGGAAAAATGGTAAGGTAGCACCAATCAATTTGTATGGTACTACTTTCCCATTTCTGTAAATACGAAAATAGTTTTACGAAAATTGAATTACATGGTAAGGCCCCAGAATTTTGTTACCGAAAAAATTTAATTATTTGTTCTTATACGTTGTTTAATCCATTTTAGTTAGGTGTAATTTGATTGACACTACACATATAATAAAAATTTTGAATTTGATCATAACTATTAAGAAACTTCCGAAATTTTAATTTCAAATAAAGAACAATTGAAATTATTTTCCCCGGTCTTTTGAAATTTTGTACAGTACTTTAAGATAAACTTTCGTATTTTTTTCTATTTCGAAATTATATAATATCAATTTATCAATTAATTAAAAATTTTAATAATTCGATATTCCAGCATTATTTGAATCAAGCTATGTATTTTGTGCACCACCGAATATTTAAGAAAAAATTTTGGATTTACTTACGATGTTCACAACGTACGCAACCCATTTTTCTTAATTGTTTGATTTTGTTTTTTGTTTAATGGAAACTGAAATATAATTTAATTAAATTTTTTAATTTAATATATTTTAATTGATTTTTTTTTTAATAATTATTCACCGGTCAATTCTTCAATTTATACTAAACGTATTATTTCAGAAACGTTTTAATTTTATAGCTCGAAAAGCTTTTATTTTGCGTTGTTTTTTGTTCTTTTAATACATACAATAAAAAATACGATAACATAATTAAAAAAAAAATAAAAATATCACGTTTACAATAATAATTGTTGTTTACTTACAATATTTTTCACACACGTACAACAATAAGATTAAGCTAAATTGTGCGAATTTTGTTTTTGTGTTAAAGTGTTAATGAAGGTACAGAGTACTTATACAAAAATGTGATTTCGTAAAAATATTAAATGAAATTGCACGACTCACTAAAAAATAATTGTATGAGGTCATGGCTGAATAAAGTTATTTCTATATAGAACTTGTGTTTCAGTGAAGAACGTCAACAGTATTCAAAGATTTTCTAACTTCTCTTTTTTGCATAAAAGAGTTCTACACTTCTCTGTGAGGGCAGTTTTTTTTTTCTCAAGAAATTTCTTTTATTGAACTGGGCCATAGAAAATTTGGCTTCGGATTTCTATAAATCTATAAAATCTAATCTATAAAAAAATAAATGGTTTAAAAAGTAGCATTTTTCTCTTGAACAAGTTAAAATTGATATCAAATTAATATATTAATCAATACCATTAATATATCAAAAAAAAACCAAAATTTGGATACTCTTAGGACGAAAACAAGAACTTACAAACATAATTGTCAAATTGGATGGTTAATTACGCTAGTCAGAATAAATAATTTAATTTTTTTATGAATAGGCATTAATCGTTTTACTATTCGCTGCTAAAGAAGTTTGGAGCAGCTTGCAGTTTAGGAAAATAAGAAGCAGAAAATTGAAATTTTAGTATTTTTGAAAGACAAATTTATAGGAGAGGGGGAGTTTTAATGTTACAGCTTTTAAAGGCGGGAGAGGAGATTTATTGTGTGAAAGGAAAACTTGCAAAGGAGAGAAGGGAAACGGGAGGTAAAATAATAAAAACTTCTTCTTAGAGAAACTGTTTTCTCACATAAATCTATTCACATAATATAAATTTCCAGCTTTCTGTTTCAAATGATAAAAATTAGTAACGTATATAGATTATATGGACAATTTTTTTGGAAAACTGTTAAAAGTTACTCATCTACATTAAATATTTTCATAATGAAACATTAAGAGGTCAATAAAACAATTCAGTGTCCGCCAAATGATGATGTGTGAAAATTTTGTATACACAATTTATACAAATTATGCTTAAACATGTTTTCAATGACTGACCTACATTGACTTAAGTCAAATTGTAAACCTCACAAAAATAATATAAAATTAATATAAATACATTTTGTAAGAGCTGGCAACTTTAATTATTCGCTGAGCTAATATCATTATTGTGAAATTAATTTTTGCTCTATTCTGATTCAGTTCTGGTACTATGTGCTTCATTTTCGTAAGATATTGCAGAAGACTGTCATACGAGCAACAGCATAGTGAACATTATGAAGAACTCTACATACATACGTATGTAAATTATTACAAATATTATTCGATATTCGGACAACATTGCTCCAAAATGATAATTTATTTCGATTGTCACAAGAAATGTTCCCAAATTCTAGGTAATTCCAAACTAGAACTGATACCGAAGAAAATCACATTTTATTTTCTGTAAATTAACTTGCATACATACTTACATACTATGTATGTATGTACATACTTATATGGCTATAAAATAAAGCCCTTACTTCTAGAAATCTTTAGATTTGATAAGATGTTGTTGAATATTGCAAATCATCAGTGTACGCCCTTCAATTTACGCAAAAAACTAAATAAAAAATCAAAGTCATGTTCTCTTTATTAAAGAGTAATCATGTGAATGTGTCATACCCACATTCAGTAATCTTGTCATAACATGTCCGTAGACAAAAAATTATCTGTTCTCAGTATAAAAAAAATACTTAGTATCTACGTACTGGGTGTTGAGTAATGCTTATAAAAACCATAAAAGTATACATGAATGTATGTACATATGTGTACACATGTGTAAGTTTATAAAAAATTCACATACACAAATGCATATTCAAGATTTTTATTTGCAAATGATATTGACGAAAAAGAACGTATTCATGCACTTATGTGTGTATGTAAGTATCGATAAATTAAAATCATGTTAGAACATGCATTAATATTTTTGTATATCGTAATTGTTATCTTTATAGCTACTAATGATTATACCATTGTTTTATTTTTAGTAAATAAATACACAAATTCTACGTTTAATTTAAATAAATAAAGAAGGGAGAAAGGTCAGTAACATTTTTGATAAAATTTTAAATAGGCAATTATCTACATTTTTAGAAGTATTTCAAATACTTAGATACTACTAGTGATTACAGGCATGTGTTGTTATTCAATTGGAGCTTTGATCCAAAATTTTGAAAACATGTGATTAGAATTAGTTCATTTAGCCAATAATAACTAATAATTATGAAATTACTATACAAAATTTTTATATTAAAGTGTAGAGTGTAGAGAAACTGGATCGGGTTAAACCAATAACCTTCTAAATAATTATCTGGAGAAAATTTTATGCAACCACTTCTCCTAAATGTATGCAAATTTTTCTGATGTGTAAAAAACGGTAGCAGAAAAATAATTTTCATGTGGTTTAAATATTTATTGATTTGGTTATTTTTACTTCTGGTTAATTTAGTATTCCATAATTCTTTAATATGATCTTTCTAATTAATAAATCCAATATAATTAATTTAAAAGGTAATATATTGTAAAGTATTGTATTTTTCGGATCTAATTCAAATAAATCTGAAACATTCCTAGAAATAGAAAGCTACAATAAGTACCTAATGAAATATTTGTAGATTTGTACAACCGGGATAACAATATATCGCGACCACGTTTAAGGATTTATTGTGTCCCTACCTGAGACACTCGAGACTCATCCTCCTGTTGAGAGCAAGTCGGGAGAACCGTGATTCCGCTACCGTGAGAGGAAAGCCCCCCAGTATTTCTTTTCTTCTATTTGAGAAAAATCAAGTGCATCACAGAAAGTGCACTGAGGTTTCCCCGTCTCCCCATAGAACCTTCAAATGCCGCCATTTTCCAGGCCCAGCCTGCAAATCGAAATATTTAATATATGAGAGAGCAAGTTTTTTATGTATTTTTTGAATAATATTTTAAGAGACTATAACAAAATTTTCTTAAATTTGGAATTCAGGTATGTAGGGTGGAAATTACTATACTTAATCGGTCGATTAACAATATAATTAATAACATAAATATATTCTGGTCGGTCATTATAGTCTGAAAATAACAAATCAACCATCTCGGTTACAAAATGAAGTGTTCACGTTTATTTAAATACAAATTATAAAAATATTGCATATACCAAGGCGTTTATTGCATATCTTTTTTATTTCCTTAGATTTTCTTTCACTGTTTGTTCCATTACATTTATAATTTATTTAAAATTACAGGAAATCCTTTTCCTTTTAATTCATAAATACTATTTTATAGTTACTTATATAAAGTACGTTATACTCGTATGTAGGGAATCTTATATAACACAATCTTCTAAAACAATCGTACACAAAATAAAATCAATGAATTCAAGATGACCAAAAGGATAACCAAAACAGATGACCAAGAACAATCAAAAAGTCATTATACCCAGTTATTTTAATAGGATACAGATATATACATACATATACAATCATGTTATATTGTTTTAAAATTTCAATAAGTATGTAAAGATATTTAGTTTGAAACAAATATTCAAAACAAATATTCCTGTGGTACAAATTCCTGTGATACCAGAACATTCGAGTATGTACACGATATTTTTATGTGTTGTTTGTTAGCAAATAAATATTGTGGCATACTACTTATAAGGATTTATTAATTTCATTATGGATGTTAGATATTTTTGCCCAAAATTTTATGTTAACCGCTATTATTCCTAATATTTACACATGTTTCTCATGTTTAAGATTTCTATCAGATATAATTTAGCATTATTTTCCATAACTAATGGCTATATTGATTTAAGCCCAATCTAAATGAAATTTATATATGAATTTAGCCAATATTCGCAAAGATTTTCTCGTGTATTATATACAATATATATATGTGTATTATATACAAGATCGTATACTATATACAAATATGGTTGCTTTGATTTCCATGAATACCCTTGCGGTTTGGCATACAACCAACCAATTTAATTTTCTTTTTTGGTTTTCTTAACCATTACTTATTATATGTATGTATTTTTGTATAAATTTAAGACCATTAGTTATTATTTTCAAAAATATTATTCATTCTTATAGAAGAAAAATCTTAATCTTAAAGATATTCCAAAATCCACAATGTTAAATATAGTGGAAAAGTAGAAATTAAATAAGATCTAATATAAGGTCATAATGTTGAGATATTTTTATGTAACCAACTGGTAATCCGCAATTTATATTAAAGACATATTATAGACTATGATATCCTAGTTAAATAAAGAAAATTTATGTTGTTAAATGGTGAGATATTTCAACGAAATTCTATAATCCATAATAATATTATTAAACAGGTCGTAATGTAATTTAAAATTATCATTTAGAAGACAAAAAAAACAGAACCTATAAATTGTGGGATTTTAGAAAATTACGAATAATTCTAATTTAAACTTCAAGTCATAGAAGTTTTTGATAAGCAATTTTATTTATTTGTAATAGGATCACTTAATAACCGCATTGCGTGTAAGTATTGTGTTTAATTAGATTTTTGTGTCAAGTATGTAAGAGGTACACTATTAGCTGTACTGAGTGAAGTGTACCTGCAATAAGTTTACAAAACTTAAGTGAAAATATTTTTTATCGTAATGTTTGATTGATAGA